ACGTGCCACCATGCCTAGCTAATTTTTTTGTATTTTTAGTAGAGACAGGGTTTCACCATGTTGACCAGGATGGTCTCGATCTCTTGACCTTGTGATCCACCTGCCTCAGCCTCCCAAAGTGCTGGGATTATAGGCTTGAGCCACTGCACCCGGCCCTTATGCGTTCATTTTTATGTGATTTTATACTATTATTAATTTTTAAATTTTTTGAGACAGGGCCTTACTCTGTAGCCCAGGCTGGAGTGCAGTGGTGCGATCATGGCTCACTGCAGCCTCAACCTCACCAGATTCAAGTGATCCTCCCACCTCAGCCTCCTGAGTAATGGGGACTATAGGTGTGTAACACCATACCCAGTTAATTTTTTTTTGTTGTAGAGATGTGGATTTGCCATGTTGCCCAAGCTGTTTTGTGTGATTTTTTAAAAATCTTGGCCCAGTGCAGTGGCTCACGCCTGTAATCCCAGCACTTGGAAGGCCGAGGAGGGTGGATCAGGAGTTCGAGACCAGCCTGATCAACATGGACACATTACATCTCTACTAAAAATACAAAATTAGCTGGGCATGGCGGTGGGTGGCTGAGGCCAGAGAATCGCTTGAACCCTGGAGGTGGAGGTTGCCGTGAGCCAAGATCACACCATTGCACTCTAGCTTGGGAAACAAGAGTGGAACTCTGTCTCAAAGTCTTTATTAAGTTGTGATCTCCTTACATTCAATCTAAAGCCTCTTTCATCCTGCCACATGCCCTTTTCTGGGCATGTGTGGCCCACACTCCCCTGGCAGCCTGCAGGCTTTCATCTGGCTTCCCATGAGTGCCCACCCTGCCTGGCCACGTGTGGGGTGCTCTCCCCAGGCTGTGTCCAAAGCACTCACCTTCCCCGTCTGCCGCTGTCCATCAGGCTAGACTTTTCACCCACTGTAGACACCTGCATCCCCAGGGACGCTTGGTGGACGCCCCAAACCTACCTGCTCCAAACCAAGTGCACCTCGTGCTGCCCCATCACTAGCTGTGCCCCCTCCTGGCCCCATTGGGCCCGCATTTGCTGGCCCAGAGTGATGTCACTGGTTTGTGGCTGTGTCCCAAGCTTCATCTGAGGACGGCGAGGTCTCAGCTTCCCAAAGCTGAAGAAGCGAAGTCTGGTATTTTTGCAGGGAAATCTTGCCTCCGTCTTGTTTTGCTTTGTGCCTCTGCAGATGGAGCTCCCCTGCCCTCCGTATCAGTCAGAATAGACCTGATGGTGCCCTGCAACGAGCAGTAGCAGATATATCCGGGGCTCTTGCGAGAAGCAGCTCCTCTTTCATGCATGCCTGCTGTCCATTGTGGGCTGCCGTGGGAGGGCGGCAGGGATGCTCCTCCCATCGAAGCCCCCATCTTGTGACCCCAGTTCCTTTGAGGCTTCGGGCTATTGCAGCAGAGAAAGGGCAGCTGGCAGGAAGTGCGGCAGCCGTCTGCACAGATACTGCTGGTCTCCTCAAGTTGTGTGGCCTAACTTGGGGGTGAGGGTGGGAAATTGGAAACCCACCTGCACAAGAGGACCAGCAGCCCCCACCATGCCCTTCCTAGTGTTATCCTCACGGGACTCCAAGACCCCAAGTGCTGCCCTTCACAGCCCTCAGGAGACCCCACAGCCCAGCCTGGTGGCTACTCTAGGTCCTGAGAATGCCCTGCTCCCTGTTCACACCAAACCCCAGAGCGTGGCCTAGGGCATACTGACTCCCTTTTATCTATTTACTTATAGAGATGGAGTCCCAGGCTGGAGTGCAGTTGTGCAATCTTAGCTCACTGCAACCTCCACCTCCTGGGTGTAAGCAATTCTCCTGCCTCAGCCTCCTGAGTAGCTGGGGATGCAGGTGTGCACCACCACCGCCAGCTAATTTTGGGCGTGTTTTGGCAAAATCAGGTGACGCACCCTGTAATCCCAGCTACTTGGGAGGCTGAGGCAGGAGAATAATTTTTGTATTTTTAGTAGAGATGGGGTTTTACCCGTTGGCTAGGCTGGGCTCAAACTCCCAACCTCAAATGATCCACCCACCTTGGCCTTCCAGAGTGCTGGGATTACAGGTGTGTGCCACCACACCCATCCTGCTGGCTCCCTTTTAAAAATGACTCTGTCCCTGCCCCTTCACTGATCTGTGTCCCCTCGGAGTCCTGGGGGCTGGTTCTGTTGGGGCAGAGCTTGGGGAAGACTGACACTGGCTTCCACCTCATCTGTGAGTGCTAGGCCTTCCCCGCCCCCCCCGGCTGTGCTGCCTGCTGACCCTGGACAAAGCTAGTGCAGGTCTCAGGGCCAGGCTGTGGCCCTGCCCCTGGGCTCAGGAGCTGCACAGTGGCCATGCAGGCTGGGCTGACTGGTGGCCTCTTGCAGACATAGTGTGCATGGACCATGTGGAGGAGATCCTCAAGCTGGTGGCTGCAGAGCACCCTCCTTCCAGGGACAAGTGGGTGGTCCAGAAGTACATCGAGACACCAATGCTCATCTATGACAGCAAGTTTGACATCAGGCAGTGGTTCCTCATCACGGACTGGAACCCCCTGACCATCTGGTTCTACAAGGAGAGTTACCTGTGGTTCTCAATACAGCGCTCCTCCCTGGACAAGCTGGACAGGTCAGTGCAGAGGGTGAGCTGGACACCTCAGGCCAGGAAATGGGCTGCTGCCCTCACCACTGGAGCAGCCATAGTGAGAGGCGGTCCCAGCAGGGCCCTCTCACTGCCACCTGCCATCACGAAAGGCACAGGTGGGGAAACTGAGGCTTGGGAGGCTGATGACCTACCCCTGGGACAGGCTCAGGCCCACCAGCCTTCAAAGCCAGTGCCCTACACCCCACGCTGTGCAACTTCTCTGGAAAATCTTAAAAGGCACCATTTTGCCTGTGCCTGCAGGTATCAGAATGTTGTGGGCAGCACCTGGACCCCAGTACAGGGGAAGTGATGTGTGGGGTGCCTGGTGGAGGCTCAGACATCCGTGAGCCCACGGTGGAGAGACCCCTGCCTCACCCAGTCCCTCATGGGCAGGATGGCAAGAGCCGATGGTGTCCTCGGGAGCGTGCTGTCCACATGGCGATGTCTCCCAGCCTCTGTCTGCGCCAAGGCTTCCTTTGACTATTGTGTGACCCTCACTTGGTGTGAGGGGCTAGGGGACCTGACGGCTGGGCAGGAGTGAGGGCTACTTTACAAGGGAGTGAGAATCCAGGGAGGCCCGACAGTCACTTAACAGAGACCTTGCAGGGTGTTCAACTCTGGCCCAGGCTGGGGGTTGTGGTCATGCTGGGTGTTGCGCTGGAAGTCA